GTCACCATGAACAGAAAACCCCGCTGATCCTCTCAGACTGATCTAGACTCCAGGAGGGTCTTAAATTCCGATTTCAGATGTCAATGGAAAGGCCCCTCCACTTTGGGCTCCAGAGCTCTCCCAGGTGTGCACTCTTGATCATGGGGGCCACAGTGAAGGTTGGGGGTGACACAGAGGCAGCACGTACCCAGAAGTAGTCACAGTAGCTCCACTCGGTTGGCTTTAGCAGTTGCTGTTCAGGCATGGTGTCTGGGTGAGGGAATGTCACGCAATTTATCTGTAGGGTACAGAATAAAAAGAAAATGACTTCACATTAGAGGGTGGGAAAAGAGGGAAAGATCTTGCTCCCTGGACAGAGCACTACAGAGGTCTCCCTTGGGTCTAGGTTGATGGACCATGCATAGGTATCTTCAGATGTTCCAGTGCTGGTAAGCATTCAGGCAAAGCTCAGGGGTGGGAAATCAGGGCAAACTCTTTGGAGGGCAGTTTAATAGGATCTAGCACACGGCAAATATCTAGATCCTTCCACCTAGCAATTGCACTTTCAGGAGTCTGTGCTACAGATCCGTTCATTCCTGTGTGCTGAGACATAGGAACATGGTTTTCGTTACAATGCTCTTTATGGTAGCAAAAGGCCATGTCACAACTCCATCGTCCATCCATAGGGGAAATTAGGTATTGTATCCATGGCAAAGGATACAGTGATAACATTCTTGTACATTGATAAGGGAAGTGACTGGGACATACTATTATGTGGGAGGGAAAAAAAGCAAGGTATAGAATAGTATTCTGTTTGTATTAAAAAAAAAAAAATGGGGGGATAGAAGCACATTTGGCTATTGGTGTAGAATTACTTTTGCCAAGTGATGAAACAATTTGCTCCTAAGGAAAGAATGGTGTGGGTGAGGGTCAGAGGTGAGAGGTTATTTCAAGATACATATGACATGAACAACGATCGTATAAAATTATAGTCCAGGAACCCACTGGACTCTGCCCCTTGTCAAGGGAAGTACACGATGCACAAATTGTCTCAGTCTTTTTTCTGCCCAGGCACGTTGGGGGTTGGTACTTGGCTGTCCCTGTTTTGTTCCTGCTGATGTGACTTCAAATCCTGCATCCTCCTTTTCCTATTGGAGATGGTTAATTGGTTTTCTCTGGGAGACCGAGCCCTGAGTCCTGTCAATCTTAGGCCCTTTGTTGGCAGCCTAAATAACCTGCAAGGAGAGACTCTGGAGGTTAAAGGGAACAGCTGTGCAGAAAACCCCAAGGTTTGGGGGACAGTAATGCAAACGCGGATGCTAACCACTGAGGTGACAGCTGCTATAAACTTCAGCTTGGAAGGGAGGGGAAGAAGCTCCTGCCTTGACACAGGGCCAGGGCCCATGGAGATGCCTCTGAGCGGCAGATTCACAAGCAAATGGAGGAGTCCAGTATCACCAAATGATGTGAGGGCTCAAAAGAGAAGCTGGAATTCATGGTTTCTATGTGAATTGCCTCAATGGGCTAAGTTTTGGCCCTTCCTTCAAAGCTTATTAACAATAAAAAACAACACTGTGTAAGCCCCTCAAACTCCCTCCATCAGCTGAATCTGGCCCAGGCATGGCCAGGTGTGACCTCTGGTTCTGGGCCACTGAGGTCAATCTAGCTCCTTCCTACCCTAGCAGTCAGGAACCCAGGTCTCACTTGCTGTCCTATGAGAAGAGCTGAGAAGTTCTACCCAAAGGGGCGAGCCCCCTTCCGGATACTGACATCTGGTGAGATAAAGTAGGGGTTTCCATTCTGAGAGGCAGTAGGGTCAGTGGCAGGAAAGACCCAGAGAACTCTGGAGATGGGCGGCACTGCATTCCACCAAGGTCAAGATCCAGGTGGGTCCTAAAGATTCCAGAGTTGGGGAGTTTTTTCCCCAATGCTGTGCAAGCAAGGTGGCCCTGGCCAGTAGTGGCCTGCTGGTTCGCCTCTCATGCCCAGCCTCAGGAGACGGTCCACCCACAAACACATTGCTATCCCCCCTTACCCTCTTCTTTCCTCTTTTCTTACCCAAACTGCTCTTGGCCAGAGCCTCTCCTTGGGGAAATACCTCCCTACAAAGGAAGAATTTTACCACAAGAGGCAACTTCACCAGAGGTCGGTCAGAACAGGAAGGGGAAATGGGTCTGGCTCACCCTTCTCCAGATGACCCACCCTCAGAGAAAGAATGCTATTGCCCACCCCAGGATGCCCACGAGGACAGATCCCATTAACCCAAAAGGGGTGGTGATGAACAGCTCCTTCTATGACAAATCCCAGGTGACTCCAAGCCCAGCCATCTGAAAGGCTTCTGAAGGTCTCCAGGAGGGCTGGCGCCCTTCCTAAGTTCCACACAGTTCCTTTTTTTTGTCTTAGAACTAAGGGGGAGTATGGTTTGGAGTCACCTAGATGATCTGTTAAAACACAAAGATGGCCGAGTCCCAGAGCCTGAGAGCCCCGCTCTTAAAATCCTATATGGTTTCTTACCATCTTCTCTGTGGGGTCAACTTTATTTTCAAGATTAAATATTTTGTCTTCATTGCCTGAGGTTCTATCTTCCAAATGGTCTTGTCTGTGGGTGGTACTTTCCATTGAACTTTTAAGTTGGTTTAGTGATTCCTTCCTTTCAATGATTTCTTCTTTGTATCTTCTCAGGACCTCTAATATATCCTTACAGAAGTGATCTTTCATCTCCTGAAGAGATTCTGTTATTTTACTGCAAAACTCCTGTGCTTGCTCTCTTACATAATTCTTTAAGTCATAGAACATTTTTACTAAATACCTCCTGAACTCCTTCTCTGACATTTCTTCGATGGATTCTCTTATGGGAGCAGCTTGGTTTGTTTGGAGCACTTTATTCCCTTGTTTTTTCATGTTGTTTGTGCGTCTTCCCATCTAGCCAGGTGGTTCTGAGGCAGGATAGTTTCTACTCTGTCGATTTGAAGTGTCCCTGAAGGTTTCCAGAAACTCACCTTTAAGGGAGAGACCAATATGAACAGCACCTAACGCACACAATATACAGCCTTAAACCACATAGCTCCTATTAAGATGCCTAGAGTTTTGTTGCAATCCACAGAAATGATGTGTTCAATTGTTGTCTACAGTATAAACAGTTTGCAAAAAAGGGGCTTACAATTTCAAATGGGGGACAAAGACAGAATAGAAGTGGTATAGCATGTGAAGGTTAGGAGGAAGGAGAAGAAAGATTATTATAGAAAGAGGAATTCATAGAGGTTGGCTATTAGCAGGAAAAGAGAATCCAGGAAACAGACAAGTGAGAGGGAAATATATATATATATATAGTAAAAAAATAAAAATAAAAGGCTGGGCTTGGTGGTGCACACCTGTAATCCCAGTGCCTTGGGAGCCTGAGGCAGGAGGATCTTGAGTTCAAAATCAGCCTCAGCAAAAAGCGAGGTGCTAAACAACTCAGTGAGATCCTGTCTCTAAATAAAATACAAAACAGGGCTGGGGATGTGGTTCCGTGGTTGAGTGCCCCTGAGTTCAATTCCCAGTACCCAAAAATAAAAAAAACGGAAAAAAAAAAGTAAAAATAAAAGAATATACAACAAAACTGTAATATACTATTCAGACACCCAGGTCTTCAAGGAACTGAAGCATGAAAAACACTTGGTTTCAAAAATAGTAGAGATGTGAGTGATAGTGAAGCCAGAATTCGACAGGCAGTCAGTGTAGACATCACAAGGAGGCCAATTTTGAGTGAGTCTGGGAAGTTGGAGACAGTCCCCTGTGGGATTGAAATGTTAATTCCTCCAGAGCCCTTCCCCCACCCGTATCCAGAACCTGGCCCGGCTCCAACCTGTTGCCAAGGTAACCAGCCCCAGGAATGGCCCCTCCCTACAGGGAGCTGCAAGATTGTTAAAGTCCTGGGCTGCTCTACCCAGCCCTCCCCCCTTCAGCCCACGTGTTTCCTACCTTTGGCCCCCTCCCCAGCATTCCTAGGCTTAGTCAAGAAAGCAGGAAGGAGAAAGATAAGGGGAAGAGGCAAGGAGAACAAAGGAAGCCTAGGAGACCAGCTATGGCCCCCTTCTTCCTCCCTGCAGAAGTCTATGTTACTCCCTTTTTAAATAAACCCTCTTTATACCCTTGCCTCCGCATGCTTCTCTAATGCGCAAAACTTAACTTGCGGGGAAGCAGGACGCATGACCCACCGATAACCGGCGATTTCAATAAGGGAAAAATAAAAAAAGATCTGATAGAAAACGTTGGAAGACTGCACCCAGGAGTCTCTTTCGTGTTCCCCTGGTGAGATGTAGGAGCCTGATCTTAGCCCTTCACGTGGCCCATGGGCCCCATCATTCCTGGTCTCTAATTTAGTCTCCAAATTTGATCTCTCCCGCCCCCACCGTTTGGAATTGAAGTCAGGCACCTTTCTCTCCCGTGGTCCTGAGGGCTGGGTAGCAGCGAGTGAAGGACCCCGGCTAGGGGTCAGGGAGGGATTAGGAGACTGGGGATCCGGGAGCGGAACGTCCCTGGGTGCCCCGGCTGATGCACGACCTGACGGGATCCAGGGATCAGTGGATGTGAGACTGGGGAGGGGTCCAAGATTCCGTCGGCCCCCCGCCCCCAGCTTTTGGAGACTCACAAAGCTGGAGTGAGCCCAGCTTTTCCCAGCCTCTCCAACTTGGGTTCCCCGGTGAAATGCTCCCAGATCCCAACTTCCCACTGGATTGCTAGGCTCAGGCCGATGCAGAACGAGCTGCAAACTCACAGATCTAGGCTCCGGTTTCTGCAGGTTCTACCACACTGCAGGACCCAGAAAAGCTCACCGACCGAGGGCGATGGATGAACTCCGGGAGAGAGTGAAGGGAGCGAACTTTCGTTCCAGTTTTACCCGACATCCTGCCCCGCCCTAAATTAACCTGCCACCCAAACCCCTCCCCGGACCCCGCTCGGTGAGGCCCAGTCAAACCCTCCCATCCCCCCAAAGACGTGCCCTCCAGGCCCGATTGCATGACTCTGCGGCTCCATAAAGGGCATCGCTGATCGGTGGAGGTCGGTTCCACTCATTCAGGGTTTTGGAGAAGTTCCTCCTTCCTTTTCTTATATCCGACAAAGGAGTCTAGCAGTCCGTGGTTCTTCTGGGGCCAACTGCCCCTCCAGTCTCAGGATTTTTCACTCTAAGCCTCCGGGAGAGGTGATATTCCCGCGTTGGAGTTGTGGGTAGCTGAGCTAAGACATGCCACCTTGCACTATGCCGCCATCGTTCCTTCTAAAATCCTGTAGGAATCCAGAGTCGGAAACTAGGAGGGTCAGAGGTCTAGAAGGTGAGGGGTTCCTCAAAGGTTGAAGCTGGCTGGGTTGGGTTGGGGGACAGGAGTGAAGTCAGGAAAGTCAAGGGAGGCCCAGGACACATCCTTTGCTGCTTATTCCATTCCTGGAGGCCATCAGTTTGGGTTTCAGGTTTTCTCACTCCCGGCTGGTCCCCAGGGACTTCCCAGCACCTCCTGGTGGGCATCTGGAGAACTGCACCTCACTGGCCTCCTGGGGGACCCTGATCAGGCACCTGGAAAAGAGCTAGGCTTCCGTTCTCATTTCATCTTCCCCACAACCCCATAGGCAGGGACTGTGAGAATTTTATAGGAAAAGCTGAGGATCACAGAAGTGAAATATTTGAATCCAGATCCGCTGACTGCAGAACTCAAGCCATGACGTGCTTTGCTCATCATTCTGAACATTTGTTGAATGGCTACTCGGTGACACGTGCCATGCCAGATCCTCCCAGCCACCTGCACGTGCACGTTCGTGACAGTATTTCTCACTCTGGTTTAGTTAACGTTTCTTTAACAGCCCGATTCCTAGAGGAGGGAGAGCATCTTTCCTCTGCAGTTTCTTTCGTGTCTAGTACAGCATCAGGGACACAGAGGGGCAGTGCCCCATAAATGTTTCTTAGTGCAATGACTGGAGACAGGCGATGTAAGGTACAGCGTCTGCCCTCGCAGGTTTGATAGTAAGTCACTGTGATTCTTTGGGTTGAATCTCCCACGGAGGCTATAAGAAGGGCCAGGGATCTGAGTGGGGGGACGTTAGAGGCTGTGGCCACTGGAGAAGGCTGTGTGCAGTGGACGAGTCCTAACCATGGCTCGGCAATCCAGGAAAGGGGAAATAAGAGACGAATCTAGAAATGCTTTGCAGATAAACTTAATGGCACCGTGAAGTTGATTCAGTGACTCTCACCCAGGAGTGATTTTGACCACACCCCAGGGGACACCTGGCAATGTGAAGATATTTGGGGTTGTCACAATTAGGGCTGTTATTAGCATCTGGTGGGTAGAGGCGAGGGCTTCTGAGAAACAATCAATAATGCACAGAACAGCCTCCCAAAATGTCAACAATGCCCAGGTTGACAAACCCCAAGGTGGCTGGCCCCAGTGAAGAGGAGTGTTCCCATCCACTGGGATGGGAAGGGGGTAGAGCCGTGGACATAGAAGGAGGTAGTAACAGTAGAGGGGGATGGTGAGGGCTGTGTGGTGTGCGCATGTCCAGGAAGCAATCAGAGCTGACATGCTTGCTGCAGCAGCCTGGTGCCACTCAGACACAGACGAGGAAACGGAGGCTCAGAGAGGCACATGCTCCAGCCCACTGTTATGGGGCTGGAGAGGGGCAGCGCAGGGTGTAGAGCTGGCTTCTGATGTCCCTGGCCACTACTTTCACTTAAGTTACTTGCTGTGACCTGGGATCACCAGGCCTCAAGCCCAGGCTCAGAAGGGCTGGGAGGACCCCAGTGCTCCATCTAGCAGGGGTACAAGTCCCAAGCAGGAAAGAGAAGACAAGACAGGGCTTTCTCTATAGAAACTGCCATGTGTGGATCGCTGTCCCCTCCTGGGTGACATTTTCCAGGCAGTTGATACCAGGGTCCGGCTACACATCTGGGAAGCCGTCTGTCCCCTCCCAAAGGCTCTTAGAACAGGAAGAGCGCCAAGGCCATCTTGTACCTTGAATACACAGGAAATGACCCAAGGAGCTGCTTTCTGTTCAACGATAGCTAAGGTTGGGCCAGCCACCTTCCCAAGTGCTTTATCACATGAACTCCTGTAAGCCTCAACAGGGGTTGTTATTAGCCCCACCGTACAGGCAGGTAAACCGAAGCACAGAGACAGTAAGTTACTTACACAGTATTACACAGCTTTGGGCAATGATGGAGCAGGGTCTGAATCCAGGTGATCTGGCGCCAGACTCCACAAGCATGGCCCACCTGGAAGGCTAAGGTGGGGAGGCCCTCGAGGAGCATGGGGCTGTGCCAGAGAACAGAGGCCACAGCCTCCTCTGAGCAGCATGTCTGAGCAGGTTGCCTGCAGACTGATGGAACCCAGTTTGACATCCAAGGGCTCCCGCAGAGCGGACTTGAATGTTCTCCCTGGAGGGGAGCTGATCCAGGAGGGTGGGGGAGAGCTGGAACTCTGGGTGAGCAGAGCAGGACCACGAGGGCCCATCCCCAGCCCTTTAGCTCCTACCAGGGTCCTGTGGCTTCACCTGGGCTCTGCCAGGGAGTCAAGGCTGAGGATCACAAGAGCCTCCAAATCCTCCTTCCGGGAGAGCCTATGGCCCTGTGGCTATACGCTCAAGATTCGGACATGACATACTTATGCCCAGAGCTCTGAGCTGCCATTAGCACCCGTCACTCCCAATCAAACAGCCTGCTCCACCGGCCAGCCCAACGTTACTGACAGAGGAGACGAGAGCCAGGCAAGGTTGTTAGTCCCTGCCCGCTGCCGCCAGGCCACCCACGTGTCTACCCCTTCCAAACCAGCTCCAGGCTATGGACCTTCAGAATCAAACTCCGTTCTTGCTCCTCGAGCCGTGGACATACCACCCTTTGCTGTCCGGGGCCTCCTGAGGATGAGACAGCATAGGAAAAGCCGCTCCCCTCATCCGCACATGCCAAGGAGAGGGAAGCCCACGTCCCAGCCTCCTGGGGAACAGGGCCATCCTTTCCTTCTGGACATCTCCTCTTGCAGAAGCCCTGAGTTCTGGAGGACCAAAGCCCAGAGAAAGAGGATGGGCACAGGGAGAGAGCAGCAGCATAGAAGTCGTCAACTGAAGACACGTGGGACCCTGGTGGCCAGTGTGACAGGCTGGGGAGGCATCCTGGGCTGGCGGGTGGGAGACCCGGCTCCTCACTCTCTCTGGGACCCTCAGCCAGCCCGAAGACTCCCTTCCCACAGCTTTGCTCAGTATTCCCCAGCAGCAATTCCTCCAGGGCAGGAGTGTTTATTGAAAAATTCTGCAAGTGCTGGGGACGATGCAGAATTCCCTGACCCGGCATCAGAGAGACCCACCATAGGTCTGGAGACCTTTCAGGAATCTGCAATTTCAATAAGTATCTCGGAGGCCTTGAGTGCACGTCACGGGCCATGAGACGAGGGTCTGTGGGAAGGAACAGGGGAGGCACCTCGCCGGGAAGGACAAGGTGTCCCATTCTGAGAAAGGCTCATCTGGTCCATTGGCAAGAGCTCGGGCTGAGCCACAGAGCCTGGCAGGTGCCCCACCGCGTGGCCCGGGTACCGCCACTCCAGGTCTGTATGACAACTGTGGCCACTCATTCCTCCCACCACCACCACCATGTGTTCCTCTTTCTCCTTTCCCCCTATTTTGGGACACTCTGCTCCTGCTTTGCCCTGGCATTCTGGGGCAGCTGGTGACAATTTTGAACATGGAGACTATACCCTCTGTAAGTCTGCACCCTGGGGCTGCCCTGCCTGGCCCCAGGAGCTCCCCTAGTAACTAAGAGGCTGCTGCAGGCCCACAGTCCCAGCAGGCTGAGCCTCTCTGCCCAGCCTTCAGGAAACAGAGACAGGGAGGTCCAGAGGGACTGAGACCTGAGAAACCAGGCTGGCTCCAGAAGGGCACCGCCAGTAGGCGAGAGCACAGGTTTGAATCCGAAGTGACCCCCATGAAGGGCCGCTCCACAGTCTTGGCTTCCTCATCTGTAGCAGGGTGATATTCAAGCTCATGTGGTCAAGGCTATGTGCCAGGCTCTGCTTTAGTGCTATGCATATACAGATCCATTCAGTCCTGGGAACATCTTATGTCTCAGGAGCCCTGATTCCCTAGTTCACAGACGTGGACACTGAGTAACTCGCTGCAGCTGTTGCACAGCTTTTAAGTGACACTCTGGTCCATAATCACTCTTCTCTTTTGATGATATGATCTACACACAAACCTCACATAGCTAGTAGGCAGAACGAGTCACTCGGAACACTGTTTATGTGTTATCAATGCACATAAAAGCTAACTCTCCTTTTCCTGCAAAGCAGAATCTTCCATCCTGGGCAGGAAGGCACCTCTCCTGGTTTGAGCTCCATGGGGCTGGTCAGAAGGGTTCAGGATGGTGTGAGATGGAGCCCAAGAGAGTAATCCCCTGTTTCCAAAACCATTGTCCTTATGAAGACAGCAAAACCTGGGACCCTCCCTCCCCTGCTTCTCAAGTCCCTGAGTTGTGGGCTGTCTGAGCCAGACAGCTCCCCTCCCCACTGGGAGGGCCCCCGTCCATGTCCTGCTCCTCAGTCCAGCATAGAGCTGGGATGGGGAGATGGGGGAGGGGCTCCCACTCATCTCCACATTGGGGGGGGGCCTCAGTGGGTTTCGGAAGAGCCCTGGGGGGCAGATTGGCCCATCTAAGTGGAAGCTGCCTGCTTCTCATTAGGAACTCCCAGGAACTCTATTCTTAGGGCGCTTTCTCTTTTGCTTTTAACTTTGACATCTTCCAGAAGTTTCCCTGCACAAAAGCAACCCCGCCGTGGCTGTAATTTGCACGTCACATCACTTGCACACAGCATGGTCCACCCCCTTCAACCCACTCCCGCACTCTCGTACCTTCCCCTGCCCTCCCCATAGAAATGGCTTCTGCATCATCCCCAACAAACCCTCCTCCCACTCCTTCACGGGAAAGGGGGGGGGGCGCGGGGGGCGGGGGGAGAAGGTGGAAATGGGAAATTGACAGAAGAATGGGGAGGGGGGACTGGAGAACTTCAGCTCAATTCAAGCTTTTTGGAACTTCCCCGGTTTCCAGGCCCGGGCAATCACTTCTGCTTGGCGGCCCACGTTGCCATAGCAACAGACCAGCTGTGGTCCCATGCCCCGGCCTGCTGCCCAAACCTGGGAGCACCCCGCCGCGGGAAGCCACTTACTGTGATGGTGTTTTCCTTGCTCTGCTTTTTGCCTGGTGACAAGGATCCCAGGTTCTGGGGAGAGAGGTAAGAAACATCATCAAAGCTGTTCTCCATATTGGACTGTTATTTTTTTCTCCCGCCCATTCAAGTTCCCTGAGGGTGGAGGGATTGGTGGAAAGCCCTGTGCTGGGGAAGTTCAGGGATGCTCAGCCTGCTGTGAACTCCCCCATCACCACGCTCTGGGCCAGGGCACGAAGGAAAATTCCTGAGCTCGCATGCTGCTCCTGTGCCCGGCTCTCAGGCAAAGTGGAGAAAGCTTCCTGCACAGGCTACGGGAAAAATTGTTCCAAGCCAGGTCTCCCCTCCTCTTCTCTTCATTCTGTGATTTGGAGAGTTAACCCCTCCGCTGCCCTCTGCTGGTAACCGGTTCCACATGCGGCTCACGGCTGGCGCGGGCAGAATCCACTGGGGAGTGAAGAGTTAAAGCAGATGGCACCGAGGAGGACCTCCTGGCACTGAGGACTCAGCACATGACATGTTATTCAGAAACCCCCAGGTCCAAAAGATCAAACCCTGAACACATAACGTGCACAGGGGCGCTGCTCAGCCGCCTCCGTGACTTGATGCTCTCTCTTCAAGCTCAGGAGCGGGGAGGAATTTCAGAACAGAACGGAGCGTCCGTTTTTGGACTCTTTTTATTTTTTTCTTGTTTCGAGAAGAAAAATCAGGGTCCCAAGTATCTCTGAGCCCACAAGTCCTCAGCAGCTTGCAAAAGTTCTAGGACGGTGCTCAGAGGGAAAATTAAAGGTTGCCAGTATTTGTGTGTGTGTGTGTAATTTGCCATAGATGCATTTGCATAAGAACCTAGGACCCTAATAAAGAGAACCTTCAGTCCTGGGCCTCAGGTGTTCTATCAGCAATTGCACTTGAAATTCAACCCTAAAGGTCCCCAGGCAGGACCTGTAGTGTCCCCATCTTAAGTCACACAGTGACCTGGGAAGCATCTTACTCTAAGGCACTGAGGATAGCCATCCTCTGAACGTCCTGGGGCTGAGACTGAGATTTACCCTCTCTTTGGGCAAGTATAAGGAAGTGGCTGTCACTTTTAATAGGATAGGAGAGGCAGAGTGGGGAGCCTCAAAGAAACCGGCAGCCCTATCCCCAGGTCAACGTGACCCTGGACCACCGGGTCAGATGAGCATGTGCAGGAGGGGGTCAGCACCAGACTCAGAAACCCAACCATGACCCAGGCCTATGGGGCTTTTAGTGAGTTCCTGCCTGTGCTCTGTCTTGACCGCTATGCAGTCCTACCTGGGCTTTTAAATAACAACTCAAAAACAACTGATAGCCTTGGAGTGCTTAGTGCAAAGGAACCTTAAGGACGATCCATTTCACAGACAAGAAACTGTTTACTAGTTTTGAGACCCCAGCCAAGAAGCCTGACCTCTGTGAGTCTCTGTTTCACCATCTGCATAATGGGTTATCACCACTGGTCCTCAGACCTTGAGATGTATCCGAATTCACTGAGGTCCCTGCTCAAAATAGAGGACCAACCACATCCCCCAGAGATGCTGCACCAGCAGGTCAGTCTCAGGTGGGGCCAGCTCCTTTCCTACAAAATCTGAAGACTTCACTTGGACTGATCCACTGATCTGATCCACCTATTGTTGTTTTATCCAGATGCTTTTCCTTAGGGTAACTGCCTGGCCACCCCAGAAGGCTCTGGAGCAATGTCAGACTTGTAGTCAACTAGAGCTTCTATAGACATTTTTAAGGCATCAACCCATCCAGCTGGCTCACACCGTACCCTTCCCCATGCCATTAGTGCTGTTCCAGGGCACTTGCCAAAACTGCTCAAGGAAGAAGGAGTCAGGCAGGGGGCCACATGGCAGGATCCCCAGGTGCTGGCCACCAAGGAGAAGAGACAGGGGCAGAAGTCCCTCCACAGGTTCTCTTACGCAGACACTGGCCAAGCACATACCTGCCACCAGAGCGCAATCTCGGTGGTCTGCACTCTCTCTGTCATGGAGTAACTTTACGCCATCCCCACTGCAGCTCACCAGGGGAGCAACCAGGGCCCTGGGAGCCTCGGCCATAGTCTTTGTGTCTGCATATGGATGCCATGATGAAGGGGATGCAGAGAAGGAGGAGAAAGATAACTGAGGGGAAGGGAGCATTGCAAGAGCCACCATCTAGTGAGGGCTTGCTTATTATGGCAGGTTGTACCAGGCTTGGCATTTGCCAGGCTTAATCTCATTTGAATCCTACAACCCCAGCAAGTTGCATGGCTTCTCATCTGTTTTACAGACCGTGATATTGAGGCTTGCAGAAGCTACATCATCCAGGGTCACAAGACTAGTAAATAGACCTTTGTGGAAATTGGAAACTAAGCCTGCATAATTCTTTCCTCTATTTTCCGCCATCTCTCTGCTTTGAGACCTGAGACAGCATCTTATTTTCCAAAAGCCCTTGCGGTGGGGGGTGGGGGTGGGGTGCCGACAGAGACCTCCATCATGCATGAGCATTTACTTTGGGATCACCTGTATAAGACTCTGTGGAATGAGATGGGTCACCTCCTCCTTTATAACTTGGGCCGGGACAGGAATACAAATCATGCATCTAAGTGTGGGAGTCAGTACCTCCCCTGATTTCTGCCCTATCAGCTGTGTATCGCTAAAACCAGTGTGAATCAGGTATCAGGGGATGCCCTAGGCCATACCAGGCTCTGCGTTTGCCCCTGATGACCTGGGACTATTCATTCCAACTTCACACACGTCTACACGTCACATACATGCATCATCGTGGATGTGCGTACACACACACACTCATGCACATCATATCTACACACCCCCATCTTGTAGTACGCCATGGAAAGGACCCAGAGGAATGACCCCTCACCACAGTGAAAACACTCACCAGCTGCAATTTGGATTCTAAATACCATTTCCAGAATGAACCCCCAGTTTCTTGGAAAAGTGACTAATTCCAAATGCAAGGTAGACCTAGAACATTTTATTGTGCAAGGAGGTAAGAAAATCCACAAAGATAAAGCAAAGGGACACGGGAGCCAGCTGAAAGGGGCTCCCACAGGCCACGTTTGGGCCCCCCTTTGAGCAGAAATATGAATGATTTCAATGCTAACTCCAAAGTGGGAGGAAGGAACCTTCATTCAGAAGAGTGCCAATCAAAATCACAGGGAATAAGATCACCATGTGGAAACCCCAATGTCAAAAGGGGTTAAAGCCAGAATCGCTGCAGAGGTTCAAAGCCCTGGGGGGAGAAGAGAGTTGGGGAACAGGACAGTGACTATGTATCACCCCACAGATTATTGCCATATTTAGAAAGGGAAGTCTGGTCCTCACCATGCTAACCAAGAGCTCAAACTCAGCCTGTCCATCGGGGTTGCAAGCCTAGGCGGTGCCTCCCTCCCTGTAAGATGTAATAAGAACTCAGTGTGCCCTACTTGGTGGCTCCCTCGTCCAAACCGCCTAACCTGGATCTCTAAAGCAAAAGACAATTAGATCAGGAATGTAGGTCATTCTGTGAGCCAACTGACCTGGACTCTTCAAAAAATAGACTGAAAGCCAATGTG